TACCAGTAACAACCCTCCCCCACCCCTCACCCAGGGGTATCTGTAAAGGTAGTCTATTTCCAGATCAATCAACACTGACATGAGAGGACTACCGGAAATGTAGACTCGCAGATGGCCATCAGTTATCAACCTCCCTCTCCTTCCTTCCTCCATCATCATACTTCTCTCCCTCCCTCCCCTCCTCCATCACTGTACTTCTCTGCTTCCCTCTTTCCTCCCTCATCCCCTACTAGGTGAATGCTCAAGAAAATTATCCTGTGCCTTTTCACCTCTGTAAATGGAACACTCAATATTTTCTTGCCCAATCTCACATCTCAGTTGTTTACCAAAATACTGGTCACAGTGACACCATCCAGCTGAAGCTGCACCAACAACCAGCCTCCCTCTCTCTCTCAACCTCACACGCCAGCTCATGTCAACCCTCAGTTCTAAGTACCGATTAACTTCTTAATTACCACCTATGATAAACTGATGAGGTTATGTAAATGCCTAACAATAAAAGAAGTCAAGAAAAAAGCACTATGCTTGATCTCTTAAAGCCTCACACACACATATTCCACACACACACACACACACACACACACACTTTGCAACTACTCTTACCAACTACCATCTCCCCAAGCCCCCCCCCCTTCACTAACCCTAATCTCTCCCTGTTTCTTCAATACTTTTCACCCACTACTCAATCCCACACAAACTACCATTCACCCATCCCCCCCCACAACCCCAAGGATGGGGACTGGAACTACCCCATCCCCATTTCTCACCAGGCTACCTCAACAACAACCTGTCCTCCTTCAAAGAACGTCGCATTTCGCTCGCATGCGTTACATAAGGTCAAAAATTGCCGTACTAGAAAATGGAAGAGGCTGGCGAAAGTGACATACTGTCCAGTTGTCTGTTTTGGGTCTTCTAGTAGGTTAGGAGAGGACACTTTAAACTGACTTGTTTTCTTGACGGTGGGAAACCTTAGAACGGGCTGACCTCCAACCCATTCTCACCCAAACCCACCACAATCTCTCCCGTTTACCCACTGCCCCAAAGCTCTAATCCTCTCAATGATCCTCACCTAGTACACAACATTCCTCCCACCGCAAACTCACTTTTTCCTACCTTCTCTAGTCACCTGTAAAACTGCTGCATTAAACTATATTATAAAACTTAAATGCTGCTGTTATCAAGTGCTGTACTTTTAACAATATTCCAATGTTACTCTATTCACATTGTTGGGAGCCTACCCTAAAACTTCAACGCATCAGGAAACCTATCATAAAGATTGTCGAGGACACCAATGGTAGGATGACAAACTGGTCGGTACAGTACTTAGACCTGCTGCACTTGTCAAATCTTTGCACCATCATTACCTTCACTACTGGACCACCAGATGAATGCGCGCGCACACACACGCACGCACGCGCGCGCACACACACGCACACACATACACGCGCGCACACGCACACACACACACACACACACACACACACACACACACACACACACACACAGGACCAAAGAGCCAGAGCGCAACCCCCACAAGCACATTTAGGCGAGTACACACACACACACACACACTCACACACACACACACACACACACACACACACACACACACACACACACACAGGACCAAAGAGCCAGAGCGCAACCCCCACAAGCACATTTAGGCGAGTACACACACACACACACACAAAACGGAGAGAATGATCTAGGAGTTGATATCACACCAAACCTGAATTGACAGTGTAGACAAGGATGGATTATTTACGATGGGTGGTACACATACAAGGGGTCATAGATGGAAAGTGAATACCCAAATGAGCCAGTGACATTGGAAAGAACTTTTTCAGTGTCAGAGTAATTAGTAAGTAGGAGAGTTAGTTAGTAAATAGCCTCCACCACATCACTAGGCAGTGATGTGGTGGAGGCTGACTCTATATACAGTTTCAAGTGTAAATATGATAGAGCCCAATAGGCTCAGGAATCTGTACACCAGTAAATTGCCAGTTGAAAGGTGGGTCCAAAGAGCCAAAGCTCAACCCCCGCAAACACAACTAGGGGAGTACACCCACCCACCTTAAGACTGGTTCCCATTATTCAATGGACATTTAACTAAAATATAGAAGCCCTATAGTTAATAAATACACTGGACACTTGCAATTTACTTTGTAACATATATTTAACCATATTATAACCTAATATGCTATAAAAGACACTATGTATACAAAGTTTTCAGCATCACTTCACATTCCAAAGATACAAAACTGTTGGTTTGGTAAATATAACCTATTTATGGGCCTCTCGGGTTTAACAAGCAGCCATCTTCATTAAAGGTAATGTATTCAATAACAAAAACAGCAAAATGCAATTCTGAAATAATAATGAGGAATATATAGCCAAAACATACTTTTATAAACGAGTTTCAATATAATCCAAATTTAAATTTACTTCCAAGTTAATATTTAAACTTTCTACCCAATAATTAATGATATATTATTAGTTACATTATTGTATAGTACTTCGTAGGAATAATATTTACAATTTGCTTTTCCTTGCGAGTCAAATGTGGCTGTTTGATGGTGGCGGTTGATGAGGTCAGCGGGGGGTGGGGTGGGGGGGGGGGGGAGTGTGAATCACCCACCCCAGTAAGACACCACACATCCTCCCACCCCAGGATGGGTAACCACAACACCCCTACCATCCCCCCACCTCTGCCAACCCCCACTCGCACTGAGCCAGAGACAGGCGAGGAGAGCAAGGGAAAGAAGAGTAGATAGGTGTTTAGCACCTCTCCCCTAGCTCTCCATCCCCTCCTCCCTCATCTTGCACTCTCCATCCCTCCTTCCCCCCGTCCTCAGACAGCACTCAGTTTCCTCACCCAGTATCTCCCCCCCCCCTCACACAGTACCCTCACCCTGTACACCCTCCCCCTCACACAGCACTTAGTTCCCTCTCCCAGTACCCCTCCCCCCTCCCCTCACCCAGTACCACGTCCCATTACCCTCCCCTAGAACCCCTTCCCCTCACCCAGAACTCCTTTCCTAACCCAGCACCCCTTCCTCTGACCCAGGATCCCTCCCCATCCCCAGCAACCCCCTCCTCTCACCCAACACCTCATCCACTCAACCCAGCACCTTATCTGCTCACCTAGCACCTTCCCTCACCTAGCTTAGGTGGGTGCTTAGGTTAATAAATAAATTAAATAATTCTTTAGCAAATTTCCTAAACACTTCAGATTACTGTATATACAACTGCATTCAAAAAATTACCGCAAAGTGCTGGGAATGGCCCTCCCCCCCTGTCTTTAAAATGGGAGGTCATAAATACACTCCTCTTATATATGTATATTGATCACTCACTATCATCGTTTAACAGTGACATGTTCCAGCTACTTAGGTATGGTGGAAATGAGGAAGTTAAACAAAACACAGGGTTCAGGACACAGACACAATCACAGAAGGAAAGCATCATGTAAATAATCTGGGAATTATGATGTCTGATGACCTGGCATTTAGTGAACATAAGTGAGCGAATATACCGGCAGCCAGGAAAATGATAGGATGGATTATAAGAATGTTCAAATCCAGAGACCCCACAGTGATGCTAATATTATTTAAATAACTGGTGCTGTCTCGTCTTGAGTATTGCTCGGTACTCACTTCCCCTTTCAGAGCGAGAGAGATCTCTGAATTAGAAGGAATACAGAGAACATATACGGCACACATAGAAATGATAATACATCTAAATTATTGGGACTGTCTTAAAGCTTTCAAAATATATTGTTTGGAGGTAAGATGAGAGAAGTATCAATACTATATACAGGAAAATAGTTGAAGGCCAGGTCCCAAATTTGCACAGTAGAATAACAACATACTGAAACAAAAGAGATGGAAGGAAATGCAAAATAGAACCAGTGAGGAGTAGAGGTGCCATAGGCACAATCAGAGAACACTGTCTGAACATCAGAGGTCCACAGCTGTTCAACATCCTCCCAGCAAGCATTAGAGATATTGCTGGAACAAAGGTGGATGTATTTAAGAGGCACTTAGATAAGTTCTTACAAGAAGTGCCGGACCAACCAGGCTGTAGCGGATGTGGGCCTGCGGGCAGCTCCAAGCAACAGCCTGTTGGACCAGTTATCACAAAGGCAGGGCTTGGGAAGTAGAAGAACTCCCAGAACCCTGGAAAGGGTTCTGGGGTACAGTATCTCGATTTGTATCTCGATTTGCCACTCCATAAAATATGCAACTGTTTTGCCTAATCAGAACCATATGAACCCAGCTAACCTATCAAGGCCAATGCATATAAAATGTTAATACAGTTAAAGTATTAGGGGGTCATTAACTTTTTACCAAAATAATGCATTTTTAATAGATTAGCAATTTCCATAACAAAAATTGATGAATTAGGTAAGAGGATGGGCTGGTTCATTATCGCATACCTTTTTTAATAAACTGATACGCCAGTACTTTTATGTGACAATATATATGAGGTAAAGGAATATAAGCTTTCAATAATAAATACAGTATATCTCCAAAATCTGGACCGCCACAACATGAATACCAATAAAAAATGCATCAAGTCCAACCTCCGGCTCACCAATCCAATATTCAGATTTGTTGGATAAAGATTCAGTTACCAGGAGTAAACACAGCTTGTCATGGTGAAATTTTTCCATCAGATTGAAGTTGTTTTCCTATTCTTGCTTATTTTGCTCTTTAAATTGTAAATATTTAACAAAATTAATGAATTGATACTGTATTTTGCAAATATTATATTAATCTAGAACTGTACATGTTCTGTAAATTATAAAAGTTTGTCTGGCACTATATCTGTGGCATCCAAACCTATTGTGAGGGCATTCGTATCAAGACGTGTTTTCACTCTTTCTTGTTATCTTGAGATCTTGAGGTTATCTGGAGATGATTTCGGGGCTTTTTAGTCTTAACATGCAAGTACAGGATGTGACTACTGCCGACTCCTGTTAGCATATTGAGAGCTTTTCCATCCTACAGCTCATGGTAAGCCTTGCCATACTAGTTTCACACACAGGTGGGTACAGAAACAGACGACTACCAACTCCTGTTAGCAGGCTGAGTTTTCCCTTTCCATAGCTCATGGCAAGTCTTACCCACTAATTTCTCTAGAATACAACCTACTAATCATTTAACAACTAGGTACCCAATCACTGATGGGTGGACTGAGGCATACAGTTAAGGATTGGCACCTAGTCAGGTCTCCCAGGCCAGGATAAGAACCTAGGCTAAATTGCTTGTGAAACATGGGGAAAGTATGCTACCATTGCACCACCAGAGACTGTGTGTACTTAGCACTGTCTGACTTCTCATTTCTCAAGCATTCTCACTGCCTTTTCATTGGATATATTGTGTATATCCAACCTGTCCTCCTACAAAGAATGTTGCCTTTTTGCTCGTATACCAAAATTGGCTAAGGCCAAAAATTGTCATACTAGAAAATGGAAGCAGCTCACGAAAGTGACATACTGTCCAGTTTTCTGTTCTGTGTCCTTTGGCTTAGTCTAGTAGGTTAGGAGAGGGCACTTTAAATTAACCGTTTTCTTGATACTGTGAAGCCTTAGGAGGAAGGGCTAGTATATCAATACAAGTATTTGAGAGTTATAACCACATAATATGGCAACAATAGAAAGGGTGCATCAGGCGAGGGCGAGAGAAACTTGATCATCACTAATGGGGGAAGCCGCTGGGGCACCAGTATTAAAAATCAAAATCCAAAAGCAGCAGAACTATTTATGTGAGAGTAAATGGGAGAGCAGTGATGGTAAGTTCAAAATACTGTTTTGGAAGGAATCAACCAACACATTAAAAATGTGATATACTCTACTGTATTTGTAAAAATTTAACCGCTTTAAAACTTATTTTTTTCATGCATCAACCTTGATAGGTTAGGACAGTCAATGGGGGTTCACATGTTTCTGGTTAGATAAAACATGCACCATTAATGGAATGGTAAATCAAGAGAACAGCTCCAGGTTACAGGTTTACCCAGCGCTGTAGCCTGAGGCTGGATGTTGGTGGTTCAGTTACGTTCTCAGAGAATGGCACAACATGGGCACTGAGAACTTCCCAGGTGGATGCATGTCATAACACTATAAAGCAGACTTTATAAGCCAGACATTCAGATAACCAGAATTCTTTCGGGGGAAAATCCGAAAATTATCACAATCGCAATTTTTTGTAACATAACCAGCATAATTATTATTTCCACACACAAACACTATAAATCAAAAATATAATTTAAAGAGACACACTTCAGCTTATCTCCTTGTAGTTCGCCCTCTTGAGTGATACTGTAGGTCTTGAAATGTGTAGTTCTTGAAAATTTACGTAACCTAATCTCTGGTTATCTAAATTTGTTTAGATATGGCGAAGTTTGGCAAAAAATTATTTGAATCTGACTTTGACCCGATAACCCAAATATTCGGTTTAATGGGCTTTGGATAACCGAGCTCATACAGTACAGTATATATACACTGTCTAAGCTCGCTTATCCAGACTATATGGGAAGGACCCCAAACCGGATATGCCAGACATCTGGATAGGCAAAATTCTTACAAGGAAAGAATTCTTACAAGTAAAAAAATTACCATACAGGTATTCCCTATTTTTTTACCACAACCAACATAATTTGAATTTCCACATTACCAGATACAACACACCCACACATTACTTAGGCTGGATGGTAGAGCGACGGTCTCGCTACATGTAGGTCGGCATTCAATCCTCATCCATCCAAGTGGTTGGGCCCCAATCCTTCATCCCCCCATCTCATCCCAAATTCTTTTCCTGAGCCGTTCCAAGTGCTATATTGTTGTAATAGTTTAGTGCTTTCTCCCGATTGTTCCCTTCCCAGTCAGTCCTCCTGGTCAGAACTCGAATGCAGACCAAATCGCTCCGCGAGGCATGAGGCCAATGTCTTACTTCATTGGAGTCAGACAGCTGAGTGGACAGCACTCGGGATTCCTAGTCCTGAGTCCCCCTACAGAGCCAGATGCCCCACACACATTACCCAATAGAGCCAGATACCCCACACACACATTACCCTACAGAGCCAGATACCAAACACACATTACCCTACAGAGCCAGATACCAAACACACACTACCCTACAGAGCCAGATACCAAACACACATTACCCTACAGAGCCAGATACCACACACACATTACCCTACAGAGCCAGATACCAAACACACATTACTCTACAGAGCCAGATACCACACACACTTTACCCTACAGAGCCAGATACCACACACACTTTACCCTACAGAGCCAGATACCACACAAACATTACTCTACAGAGCCAGATACCACACACACACTACCCTACAGAGCCAGATACCACACACACATTACCCTACAGAGCCAGATACCACACACACATTACCCTACAGAGCCTGATACCACACACACATTACCCTACAGAGCCTGATACCACACACACACTACCCTACAGAGCCAGATACCACACACACACATTACCCTACAGAGCCAGATACCACACACACACTACCCTACAGAGCCAGATACCACACACACACTACTCTAGAAAGCCAGATAAAACACACTACTCTACAGAGCCAGATACCCCACACACACACACATTACAGAGCCAGATACCACACACACACACACATTACCCTACAGAGCCTGATACCACACACACATTACCCTACAGAGCCAGATACCACACACACATTACCCTACAGAGCCTGATACCACACACATTACCCTACAGAGCCAGATACCACACACACATTACCCTACAGAGCCTGATACCACACACATTACCCTACAGAGCCAGATACCACACACACATTACCCTACAGAGCCAGATACCACACTCACACTACCCTATTGCGCCTGTCACGAATGTCATAATACACGATGATCACTGTAATGAACAGTACCACGTTCATAATACAACCAACGAACACAACATACAATGGCCCCTCCATACAACGGACACCACAGTTGTATAGCACCCCTCACTAACCCAACACGAGAGCTAGGAGCCATTACACACACACCAATCCGTAATATATTAAAATACAAATACAGCAATTCAGAATTGTTGTCATTTCCTCCCAAATGGGTTACCCAGCGGACTTGACTCCCATTCCCGAGAGCCTGGTGACAGGGCCTCGCCAGGCACATATACACTTAACTGGGGTGTGTTAACACTCACCATAACTAGAGAAGAGGCGGAGAGACCAGGGAGGGGAGGAGAAAATGCACTATAAGGCCATAGTGGAGGCTGCTGGCTGGCTGGCTACCTCACTGGTAAACAACTACACAGAACGCTGGCTAGCAGCGAGCCTACCGTGCACTCGCTCCCCCTGCGCCCGCCACCTTCAAACTCTCTTCACAACACACACTACCCATATATCACTCTACACCGCACACTCTACTCTTATATAACTCTATATTACACATTCCACCCCTATTCCACTATATAACATACAATTTACATTTATACTACTCTACACCTTACACTCTACCCTTATATAACTCTACACCACACACACTACCCTTATACCACTCTATACCACACATTCTATCCTTATACCACTCTATACCACATATTCTACCCATATATCACTCTATACCACACACACTACTCTTATACCGCTCTACACCACACACACTATCCTTATCGTAATCAGGAAGAACATTGACAAACTAAAATACCACTTATAGATAAAAATACCATCAAGGGTAGTTCCTTGGCCCATACACAGACAAGAGACTAAACTTCAGCACCCATATACAACACATAGACAAAAAAGTCTCAAAACCTGTCAGTATACTCTCTAAAATCAGATATTATGTTCCGCACTCTGCTCTCCTCTCAATATACTACTCGCTAATCTATCCCTATTCAACATATGGTATCTGTGCTGGGGTTCAACCACTGCAAATTACCTCAGGTTCATCGTTACCAAGCAAAAATCTGCTATCAGAATTATATCAAACTCTGCCTACAGACAAGACACAGCCCCTCTGTTTAAATTCCTAAACATACTGAACATACACTCGCTCCACACATTCTCTTGTGATATTTACACGTACAAAACCTTGTTCCTAAATGTTAATCCTGACCTGAAACTATTCCTTGATAAATGTAATAGAACCCAATGAGTACCACACCAGAAATCTCTTTGATATTCCTAGAGTCAGACTTAATCTGTACAAACACTCCATGCATATAAAAAGATCCAGTGTATGGAACTTACTCCCTAATGAATTAAAAATTGTCTAGCCTATGCATTATTTAAAAGAAAAGAAAAAGTACAGTACCTAATTCCATCCTCAGTTTCCAATCTTGTGCTCCAAACTCTCACTGTATCTTGTGCTACCCACTCACCCAATTTTAGTACTTAAGACTTACAATTTCGCCATTATAATCGATGCTATGAGTTTATATTGTAGTTATTATGTTGAATTCAAAATCTGTTACAATGTACCTATTAATACTTTTACTTTTTATTAGATTAAGGACCTACCCGAAACACTATGCGTGTTAGTGGCTTTGCAAGAATGTAAGAAAACCATTGTTCTGTACTCTCACAACCCAATGTATTTTCTTGCATACAAATAAATAAATACATGACTGAAAAGTCCCAGACGTGAGTGTAATTCAATCCAAAGTCATAAAGGAACTTGCAGAGTAACTTTTCCTACTACTGAAACTGCTTTTCAGAAAATCTCTGAACCAAGGGATAGTTCCCATAGACTGGAAATATACAAATGTCACCCCTATTTAAAAAAAAAAAGGCAGAAAGAGCTCAGCAGAAAACTACCGTCCGATCAGCTTGACATCACACGTCTGCAAGCTCATGGAGAGAAATCTAAAGGAGGGAATAATTCATCACCTCACAGTGAACAATTGTAAATCGACGCAACATGGGTTTGTTAAAAAGGGCTGATCTCATCGAAACTTTTAAAATACTGAAAAATTTAGAAGATGTTGACCCAGACAACTTCTTCGAAATGTCAGATGTAACACAACGTTTTAATGCTCAACAATGGCTTGTTGAGCATTAAAAACATTAAGTTCTACAGTTCTACATTAAGCAATGTAGAACTGAAAACAAGAGAGATTTTTTCACCCACAGGGTTATAAACCTACAGAACCGCCTACCCGCCGAAACCATAAATGGTAAAAAACTGTTGAATTTTTAGATCCAGCTAGAAAAAATCATTAGTACAAAAGGGAGGACCTTTGACAAGCCGCCGGCTTCCTGTCCTCATCAAGATCACTAAAAGGATAGTAGCCCTCAGGTAAATTCAGGTAAATATTGTTAGCAGCTGTAGGTATATCTCAAACTGCAAACACCATCGATCAATAGTGTCCAAGGAATGTGTAAGTACTTCATGCATAATGATGTGCTGCCCGAAATCTTAGCGAATTATCCAAAGTTTGCTTACTGTAAGTAATGCATGCACATGACTGTAAAGCTGCCGCCCAGTTGGGTGGGTGTGGAGCACATGACTGTAAAGCTGCCGCCCAGTTGGGTGGGTGTGGAGCAAGACTAGTAACTGTGTGACTCACCATAGATGTAAAGTGCCTTGTATAGTGACTGTTGTGAGTCTCTTGTTGAATCACTTGTAACACAAAAGATTATTGATGTGTGTACTAGTGTGGGTGATTAAATATGTATGTGTATGTATATATGTATACGTATATATATATATATATATATATATATATATATATATATATATATATATATATATATATATATATATATATATATATATATATATATATATATATATATATATATATATATATATATATATATATATATACATATACATATATATATATATATACATATATATACATATATATATATATATATATATATATATATATATATATATATATATATATATATATATATATATATATATATATTAGTATATTTTGGTAGCAGTCTTTCCTGTAGACATATTTTATTAAATATGACCGAAAAAGTAAGATTAATAATTCTAACACGAATTTTCTCAATCTTTCGTACATTATGCTTCACTGTTGGAGGTAAATCAAAAATCACTTCTCCAAAATTCATTTTTATTTTTATTTTTATTTTTATTTTTAAAATAAAAATGAATTTTGGAGAAGTGATTTTTGATTTACCTCCAACAGTGAAGCATAATGTACGAAAGATTGAGAAAATTCGTGTTAGAATTATTAATCTTACTTTTTCGGTCATATTTAATAAAATATATATATATATATATATATATGTACATGTATGTATGAGAATGTGTACATGTATATATAACATTAATCATTTTGTAACTAGCGTCAAAATTTTTTTATTTGCTTAGCTAAGCGAACTAGAGGGTTCAGTTCCTGAACCGATTATGTGCCTCTGTAATCTTTTACACCACCGCCCACGGGATGGGTATGGGGTACATAATAAAGAAAGAAATTTTGAATTCATACTGCAAGTTACATTAACTGTTGTTGTTGTTAAAGATTCGCTACCTGGAACAAAGTTCCAAGTAGCACGGGCTATGGTGAGCCCGTAGTGCCTTATATTCTACATTAACTAGAATCATAGGATTTACGGTATTTAGCTTTTAATGGACATGTGGGTAGATGTTCAAGCCTTGGCTACGTTCTTTGTAAGCCTCATTTGTGTTTAGCAAAGAAACTCAAGCTAATTAATTTAGTGGATTTTATTGTAGTTTTGGATCTCTATATTGGAGCAGTTCGTGTTGATCAACATCACATCTTGTAACTGGCTTTAGTGCTCTAAAGGTAAGTGTTCACTGTTAGAGGGAAAAAATTACACTATAAATTACTCTTAATATGTACGATTTAAATTTATTTAAAATAAATTAGCCCTGTAAATACATATAATATTTGTTTGCTATGTATTGTGAATGAATGTAAGTCATCGTGCAGGGACTCGGACGTCAGCGCTGCCTCGACCAATCAGCGTCTGCCGGATGTTGTTTACAAACGTGTCTTGGGCAGAGACGAGGCTTCTCTACACAACCATCAGTTGGTAGGGTTAGGGTCCGCTACTTTTATGTTTACAGAAATATATGAATGTATATATTTAACGTTAGACAAAGGATATATTTAATTAATAATTCCAGTAGTCTGTGAATCGAACCTGGCACGTAATAATCAGGCATTTAGTAGTCTATGGGGGAAACGAGGCACTTCTTATCCAAGACCCTTCACTATTTATTTAATGATATACAAGAAGGTACATTGGGGGTTAACAGAGAACATAGAAATGCAGTTGATTTTACATTCTTGTAAAGCCACTAGCACTCATAGCGTTTCGGGCAAAACTATTGAATTTAAGAACGCTCAATCTTGCTAACTTAGTCTAACAACCTAGCTTGCCCAATCTAAAATGATTGCATATTGCTTCATAGTTTTCATGGCTTGATGCCTTCTTTTTATAACTATACTTTTTCATTATTTTATTTTTTTTATTGTATATATACCAGAGTATTTACATTCTTGTACAGCCACTAGCACGCATAGCGTTTTCAAGCAAGTCCTTAATCTTAATATTCCCCGAAATACGACCTGCCAAATAATTTAACCAGGTACCCATTCACTGTTGGGTAGACAGAGGCTACAATTAAGGATTTGCGTCCAGTAAATCCTCCCCGACCAAGATACGAATGAAACGAAACGTTTCACTTGCAAAACGCCAGGCGAGTGTCTTACTACTACGCCACAGGGACTGATGACGGTCCCAGTATACAGTATATTATATACTGTATATTTTAACATTTAGGAAGTGTTACAGAAATAGGTGTTTATTTAATTTAATTTTTTTAGCTGTTTATTAAATGAACACACAAACTAATAGCAGTATGATAATAATAATAATAATAATAATAATAATAATAATAATTTACGTAAAGTACATTTGAAACACTGTAGTGAAGTATTCATAAGAACATGCTAATTTATGTGAAGCATTTTAGGCATACATATGACAACCAGGGAACCTGGTTATTATTAATCAACTTTCAACCAGGTTCTCTGGTTATCATTAGTCAAAATTTTCCTGGTTGTAAGTTGACTGATAAATAGTGCTCCCAGGTACTTTTCTCTTCTCTTCTTCGTCGTCATTCTCTTCCTGATTATTTTTGTTTTTTTTTGTGCTTCCTGTGTTTTCCTGCTCAACCACTTGGACTAGATGGTAGAGTGATGATCTCACTGCGTGCACGTGGGTGTTCAATCACCGATCGTTCAAATGATTGGGGATCATTCCTTTCACCCCGCCTGACAGCTGAGTGCACAGCGCTTTGGATTCGTAGTTCTGAGTTTCCTGTTCGATCCCCGATGGAGGTTAAAACAAATGGGCAGAAGTTTCTTTCACCCTGATGTTCCTGTTCACCTAACAGTAAATAGGTACCTGGGAGTTAGACGGCTGCTTCCTGGGGGTGTGTCGCAAAAAGGAGGCCTGGTCGAGGACCGGGCCGCAAGGATGCTAAACCCCTTATCCTGATCCGTTCCAAGTGCTGTATACAATAGTCATAATGGCTTGGCACTTTTTCCTGGTAGTTTCCTTCCCTTTTTGTATTTTTTAATACAATACAAATACAATACAAATATTTATTCAGGTAAAGTACTTACATACAAGGTAAGATACAAAAGTTGATGGATTTATAGATAGAGCTAGTACATACAATGCCTAAAGCCACTATTACGCAAAGCGTTTTGTGGCAACTTTTGTTTTGTTTCCTTTCTTCAATATTGGGACTACAATTGACTTTCTAGATTTCTGGGAGCTCACCACTTTAATATTATGTATATTTAAAGCCTTAATTAATGGATAATTCAGGGTAATTGAGCCATAGAAATGAGATGTTTATATTCTTGGCGGTTGGAAATTTAACATTTAAACAGGAATTCCCTATTACAGGTACTTTGTATAATTTATATACTATACTATATTTCAATATCTAGTGTAAGACACCTAAAATTCATTTAATTCTTGGTGTAGGCCTAAGTAACACATATATACAGTACTGATAATTTAAATATATACAGAATATTAATTTACAAAGATACAATTTTGCATCATTTGTTTGTGTAAGTTTTACTTGAAGAATTAACGACACTTATCTTTGATTCTTATGGCAAGTAATTATGAAACTGCTTTGAGACAATAATATCATATACAGTACAGGTGCTGTATTACATTCCGACAAAGAATGCCTAGAAAGAATTAAAATGAGATTACATGTTAACTACGCCAGATGAAATAGAATGAACTATCTGGAAATGAACCAAGTAAAGGAATTCTTTTAATTACCATATTTTTAATTACCATGCCACAGTAAATACTGAGCTAAATAAAGTCCATCTTTGGCTAACTGCCAACAAACTCACCCTTAACATTGACAAAACTGTCTATATTCTGTTTGGCAATAAATCCTCTAATCAAATAAATCTCAAAATAAACAATACCCAAATTTGTAACAAATTAGATGGCAAATTCCTTGGCATTCTCATTGACCACAAGCTGAATTTCCAGGGACACATTCTAAATACAGTATATCAAAAAAAAGTTTCAAAAACTGTTGGCACTCTTTCTAAGATCAGATATTATGTACCCTGCCCTGGTGACTCTCTATTACTCCCTCATCTATCCATATCTCAACTATGGTATTTGTGCTTGGGGTTCTACTACTCAAAATCATTTACTTCCTCTAATTACTCAACACAAAGCTGCTATTAGTGACAATATCCAACTCTGGCCCCAGACATCATTCAGTACCCCTACTCAAATCTCTGAATATGTTAGATATTAAGTTACTGCACATTCTCTCATGTGTATTATACATATATAAAATGCTGAACTGTAATGCCAATCCTGACCTCAAAAGCTTCATTGAAGGTTGTAACAGAACCCATGAGCACCACACCAGAAATAAATACAGTTTTGATATTCCAAGAGTACGACTTAATCAAACTAAAAATGCTCTACAAATCAAGGGGACCCAGAATGTGGAATGACCTTCCCAACCATGTTAAAGACTGTACCTTTCTCTACCAGTTTAAGATAAAAGCGAAGCACTACCTAATAAATTCCCTGTAACCTATCTTACCCCTCTATTGTCAACCCATGTCCTTTTTTTTTTTTTTTAAACAACGCTGTTTGTCGACCTAATTGTATTTGTGCTGCTTTTTCAGCCATGTTCCCCCCTATTTTATCTCTATTTTTATTTGTTCTCAACACATTTTATTCTTTATACTCAATTAGTATTAAGCTTTAGTCATTTAAGTTTTTCATGCCCGAAACGCTTTGCGTAATAGTGGCTTTAGGCATTGTATGTACTAGCTCTATCTATAAATCCATTAATCTTTTTAAAATCTCTTGTATGTATGTACCTTACCTAAATAAACATTTATTTATTATTTATTTACTATTTATTTATTATTTATTTATTATTTTCTGGCATATAAGGTGCATCTATTTTACAAGGATATTTTATGGAAAAACAATTTCAGTATGTTTCATCATACATTTATGGAAAATTATTTTCAAGTGATTTTGTAGTGGAAAACATATAATTTGTGCATGTAAATACAATATATATTTGATTGGTGGGGGACCAAAACCATGCACTATATATATTTATTTATTTATTTATTTATTTATTTATTTATTTATTTATTTATTTATATACAAGAAGGTACATTGGGTTTGTGAGAATACATAGCCTAGTATTTACAATCTTGTAAAGCCACTAGTACGTGCAGCGTTTCAGGCAGGACAGGATCTACTGGCAAACATGACATGTATCCCCAGTACAGTACAGATATCTTATGGTTTTGTTTATTAAATTTCTGCATTTGATAGCTGTGTGTTTGTGTGATTTTAAATGTATAATATTTGTCTTCCACCAGACATTCACAATGAGAATAGATACAAGTGTAGGCCTAGTTTTGGCCCTGGCAGCATTCTCAGTTCTCTGTGCAGGAGAAGAAGAGAAGAAGAAAGAGAAAGTAAAAAAGTTGCAAATAGGAGTGAAAAAGCGCGTTGATAACTGTACTCTGAAGAGCCGAAGAGGTGACCTGTTACACATGCATTATAGTGTAAGTATAGTGAATGTTTTAACTACATCTCCTGTAGAGTTGCTGTTTGTATGCAGCATACAGTCTCCTGATGCACTATTATGAATCTAGGTAAAACATTTTCTTTATAGGAAGGTCCTCTGCCAGATTTCTTATATGCCATGACTGGTTGAACTTAAATTTTGCTCTATTCATCCCTTTGAAAGCGAAAATCATATGCTCTTCTAAATTACTTTGTGCTAGATCATTTCTTGTAATTTGGTTCCTGTTCTTTCTTATATTTCCTCTAACTCCATCAACCAGTTTGTTTCAGATCTGAAACTCTCAAAATGTATTCAGACTCCACTAGAATTTAATCCATTGTATAACTTCTTTACATTCAGACACTTGTTATGCTCTTTCTCTGATTGGAATATCTACCTCCCTGTTACATTAATTTTGCACAGTCCTGAATGATGATCTGACCCCACAAACATTCAAATTCAAGTTCAATTTTTTATTCAAAAGAATGTGTGTACAGTACAAAGAACACAAGAGTAATGTACAATTGTGAGAAAAAGAGTTACACATACTAATGAAGCCACTTTATTACGCAAAGCGTTTTTGGCAAGTGTTCCTCGCATGACCCTCTACATATCACGTCTACTATCAATATCTGTACACAAAATCAAACAAGCTTGATTTATGCTGTTTCAAACTCTTTGCCGTCATGTATACCTATGTATGAACATATTCTCAAAGTATTTGACATGAACAAACTATTCTCCACCAAGAAGTGAATAACCATACAGTATTTACACTTGGAACATCTTTCAACAACTTCTCTACATTTATTTCCAACCATAGTACAGTACTGGTATTTACATTTCCCTGGAACACCTCCATTTCATTCTTATCTAAAACACTGTCCTTTACACAATGGAGCATACACACTTTAAGATACATATACAGTATAGCTATCCTACACATAATTCAACATATTCTTAAATTAACACTTGAATCGCCTAACATACTCCCTCTTTATCTCACTTGTTATTTTCATCCATTCACATATAAACTAACCGCCTCAACACCATAATGTTTCACTTTCTCCCATTCCCAATAAGATGCATCTTTTTCTCACAATTATAACAGTTTGTAGAACAGTACTTTAAATTCCTCTCTTTTGCTTTTATTTATTCCATTCACATTAATTAAATGGACACACTCGATGTTGCCTCCACTGCTGTTTTCCCTTGTTTCTCTCCACCTACCCAAACAGTGGGTGCTGGCTGAAAGTAAACCAAGAGCAGCAGTGTTCCTGGAGAGACTGGGGCTTGGGGTGTCTTGCTGCCCAGAAAGACAAACTAAAAAGTAGCTTTGTACACGTTTAATTAAAAGAAAAACCAATAAACAGAAATATCAATGTACTACCTCCATCTCATCTTCATTTTCATCACAAATGCCATAATAATGAGGCCACCACAAGAAGGGAGTGGGAGACTTTGATACTGTATGTCAAGGTTCTAGAGATCAATTGGCAAAACTCCTAATACATGTGAAGCATTGCCAGTACTGGTAGTAACCTTACAGGCTTTATTGGTTATGAGACCGACCTTGTGAAATGCAGCTTTTTCTTCCGTGCCCCACAAACTCACTTCTAATATTGAATCATTTGTACTCCTGTTTTTTTTTCTCTGACCTATCTCTTTTTTTTTTCACAACTCTTGCTGTCGGAAACGTGTCGTTTTGTTTGTACAGTACTGTATGTGACCAAATAATACATACACAGCAGTATTTCCCCACTGATATTGTTTGTTGGTAATCCTAAGATAGTGTGCCTTGCTCACTCATTTTTCCATTTCACAGCCATTATGTACTCACCTAGTTGTGCTTGTGGGGGTTGAACTTTGACTTTGGTCCTGTCAGTCAACAAGTGTACAGATTCCCGAGCCTATTGGGTTTATCATATCTACATTTGAAACTGTGTGGAGTCCTCCACCTCATCACTTTCTAATGCATTCCATTTGTTAACTATACTCTGAGACGAATAAAGTTTTTCTAATGTGTACAGTATGTACTGTACTCACCTAGTAGGTGAGCGTGTGCGCACATGTGTGAAAGCGTGTGCATGCGTAGATTACGTTAAATATTATTTTATATATTAGTATGTACTGAACATGAATTAAAAACTTAAAAAATTTTAGACTGTTTTAGTATGAAAATGCTAGTGATTTATTCCATTTGTCAATTTATTTAATGATGTTAACAGGGTAAACTAGAAGATGGCACAGAATTTGACAGCAGCTACCCTCGAGGCCAGCCTCTAACTTTCACCTTAGGCTCGGGACAGGTCATCAAGGGATGGGACCAAGGATTAATTGGGTAAGTCAATCATTCAAATCCATATGGTTTTATTTTTTAAAGTGTTTTCACAGGTGCATTAGGTGATAGGAAATGCACCCAACAATTTCTGTCCCACCCAGGACTGGAACCCAGAATTCTCGATTGTGAGTCGAGAACGAACCCAACTGTATTACCGGGACACTTAGTTCTATATCACTATCTCAAAAACGGCTTATTACATTGATTTAAAACTCAAAATATTCCACTTTGGGCAAGAAAGTAAGAATGTTAATGAAGTTGAGCTTTATAGCCCCATAACATGATTGTTTTCCTCATTTCTATACAGTACAGTATCTTTAGAGGCTCGTCACCTTGACTTGCAAGTAACACCAGTGTAAGTGTAAAACTTAATCAAAGGTTTTGTTATGTGATAGTGTAGCAATAGCAAATATGTTTTTTATATTGACTGTATGTATGTATAAATGTTGTACCTAATAGTCCAAGTTGCCTAACAAGCCAAATTTTCCTAAAAAAAAATGTTTCTCGCAAAAAATTCTTATAGAAAGATAAAGCTTTCCATTACACAACATATGAATTGAATTTTTTTTTTTTTTAGTTAAAATTAAAATAGGATAGAAATTTTATCAAACCTAATTTAACCTAACATCACTGAAGTCAGTAATTCATGTTCTTAATTAACATAATATACGTGTAATAATACAGTATTACCCCCAGTACTTGGAATAAACCCATTTGAAAAGAAATATTTGAATATTACAAAAATTTCTTGGCCTAGTATGCAAGACCCAATTTACTTAACAGGTAAAGTAGTGCAGTTCAGGCTATTGGGTACGACATATACAAGAAGGTACAGTACAGTGGATTGTGAAAGTGCATGTTATTAAATGGTACATTTTTGCATTCACTAACACACTTCTTTTTCTGGGGGGAGCCCCGTCGGCTCCCCGGAGCTATCCCAGGCTGATATGCTAATGTCAGACTTTGGCATCAGTCATGTGTATGGAGTTCTTAGGCCTACCGGGGACCACGGCCAGAACCGGGCCCCCTCAGAGAGGCAAGGGGAGCAATGGCCTATAGAAGCCCCCGTGTAGTTGGAAGCATTCTATGTCTGCCATCGACCGGAACAGGCACCCAGAAAGGTAAGCGCCCCAAAACAAACCCCCCAAAACAAACCCCTATTCTGGTTAAAATTGCTACCTAATACCGAACTAGTGGATAGAACTCCCCAACCGAAAACAAGCAAATTAGTGTGACGTCACACACTGCCGCGCCGCTGTCTGCGCAGCTCCCCCCTCCCCGGGAGGGGGAAGGGGGAGCCCCAGACCCCCCGCGCCGGCTACCCACACCTCAGTTCTTGAGGCTGATGCTATAGGCGATGGTCGTGTGCTCTGGCTCCGGTGTCGCTACTGCACTGTGCTTTGAGTGTGGTGTTAGTTTTGTGGGTGCGAGAGCCAGGAGTTATCTTCAGTACTCGGGCTGCATGCACCTAGGGCTGCCTTCCCTAGGTGCCCTGTAAGTACTGCCCTTGGGGCTTGGGGCCACCTTCCACAGGCTCCTCGGGGTCTGCCTCTGCTGGTCCGTTTTACCTTTCGGTTTTTCGGCCGCCTGTTGGGCTCTTGGGTGTTCTGTTCTCCCTTGTTACCGGCAGGTAAGAGGCAGTTTGCACTGGTAGGGGCGCAGGGTGCTGCTCAGCTTGTATTTCCCAACATCGCGGCCGGCTCTGTTACTTGGGGTTCGCTGTCCTCTTGCGGGGTTTTGTTTTTGTTTTTGCCTGGTGGGGGGTTCTGTCATTTTATTCAGTTTGTTTTTGCCCTTCCACTGTTCTCCTCGGTGGCGCCCCCTGCTAGGTCCCCGTGAGTGTACACGTCCCTGGGGTTCAGCTTTAGAAGTTTGCTTGGTAGTTTTGGGCGCTGGTTTGCGGCACCCTGCCTGGGACTACCTGAGCGCGAGTCCTCTTAAAGTAAACGCTCTGGACCCTGGGAATCCCCTAGGGGGCGCGTGGGTCCGATGGATGTGACCCCGGAGTCCCCACTCGCTGTGTGCGAGTTTGAGGGTTGCTCGGTCCCCTTGTCTCAGGGTGACCCTCATTGTTTTTGCCTCTGCCACGCTGCCTGTTGGGTTGGTGATACTTTCGACCCTGAGTCCTGTGAGTGTTGCTGCTTGCTTGTGACTCAATTTACCCAATCCTCTGATGATTCTATTCGGGTACAGGCGGCACGTACGTTGCAGTCTAGGTTTCGTCTGTTGCAACGCGCTCGGTTGGTTGCTTCCCCGGATGCCCCGGGGCTGCCCCGCTTTGCTTTTCGAGACCCGGACTTGGGGGTGGGGGTCGCTTCGATCCTGGTTCAGTCCGCACCTCCTCGTCCTTCCCCTTCTGTTCGTTCTGGTCCCCCGCCCCTGCTTCCGGCCCCGAAGCGTCTGAGGGTTTCGGGGTCGGAGCAGGGGTTACTTGATCTCGAGACTCGGGCAGCTTCGGGGGTTGCCCCTTCCGGGGGGGCGGCAGAGGCATTTGAGTCTTGTCTCCCGGCCGAAGCTTCAGGGTCTGACCAGTGGGCCCCCCTTCCTCCAGCTTTTCCGGCTGCTCCGTCCTTGTCTTGTGGGGTCGGGGCTTGGGGAGAGGACTCGGCCTCGGGTCCTGTGGTGACGGACCTCGAGGCTGGGGAGGGGCTGACTTGGGGGCCTTGGGCCCCGCTGGACCCCGCCTGGGTTTTTCTTCCCACTGAGCGGGGCTTATTGTTACAAGGAGTGGGGTTTTCTTTCCCCCCCTCTGCGTACGAGTTGGATTTGGTGTCGGCCCCTCCCCGGGTACGGTTCCGTGTTCCCCCGGGTACGTCGGTTCCGTCCTTCCGGAGGTTTTCGGCTTATCGCATCCAACCTGGTGTGGTGCGAGCGGCCTTTGCAGCTTACCTCCTGCGTGACCCGGATTATGCCTCGGAAATGGATCCGTCCACATTCAGGTTTGGGACTTCGTTCCCTTTCTGGCTCCGTTACGAGGTTCCGGAGTCGTCCTGGCTAGCAGACTGCCCCTTGTTTGGTCTGGATTCCTGGCATTCCTTCTGTCGTTCCCGCACGCTGGAGTGGCGGGAAGCTTCCACGGTGCTTCAGGTTTTCTTGGGGGGTGAACTTGAGTACCTGAATGAGTGCTTGTTTGCCCCTGCCCTTCCCCGCGATGTGGGCGTTATTCAGCTCCATGTGCAGGTTCCCTCCCTTTCGGCGGCGCTCGTGGCGGAGGACTTGCGCGCTCGGGGCCTTTTGTGTTCGGCCTTGCGGTTCTTTTCCCTCCTGGAGCTGTCTTCGGATTGGCTCGTGGAGGATGTGGGGACGCTTGGGTCCGTCCCGGGGTCCGGCACCTTGTCCTCGGCTGCGCGTTCGTCGGCTGCCTTGTTGAAGCTGTTCACGCCGATTTTGCGGGATGCGGTTTCCCTGTTCTATGCTTCCCGTCTCGCGTGTCGGCAGGCGGTGCTGGGTTCCTCCGTGGAATCTGCTTGGGCTCTGGCTCTTAGGCGTTCTTCACCTTTTTGTCCTCTCCTGTTTGGGGAGTCGGCCGTGGCGCAGTTTATTCAGGCTGCGTCGGCGGCTTGTCGTCCGATGTCGGACTTGTTGGTTTTCCGGGGGTCCCGGGGTGGGTCTTCCCGGAAAGGTCGTGCCAGGGCTCGGGGTTCCTCTCGTCGTGGTAGGCCTCTGGTGTCAGGTTTGGGGTTGGCTCCTCCTGCGGATCCTCCCTCGTCTGGTCGGCGCGGTGTTCGCGCTGTGCGGGGTTCTGGGTCTCGTAAGGGTCGCCGGCCCTTTCGCGGTTTGCCCCCTTGACGGGGCGATGGGGGGGCGGCTTGCGCTGTTCGCCCGCGCCTGGTCCCACGATTCGTGGGCCTTTCGGGTCGTGTCTTGCGGCCTGCGGTGGCGTTGGGTGGCCCCTCCCCCCTTTGGGGGGTCGGGGCTGGCAGGGCAGGCTTCTTTCCCTGCGCTCTGTCGAGTCATCTTGGAGTGGGTACGCTTGGGCGTCGTCCCTCAGATGGGTTTCCCGTCTGTTTCCGGTTCCGAAACGGGACTGTGCGGACCTGCGGTTCATTCTGGACTTGTCCCGTCTGAACCCCTGGGTTCATTGCCCCTCCTTTCGGATGACTACGCTGTCTCAGGTTCGGCTCCTCTTGGAGCCGGGTGCTTGGATGGTGTCCCTGGACCTCCGGGACGCTTATTGGCATGTCCCGATTCATCCGCGGTTCAGGGACTGGCTCGGTTTTGTAGTGGGGCATCTGAGTTACCGTTTTCGTTGTCTCCCGTTCGGGTTGAACCTGGCACCTCGCGTGTTCACACGCCTTACACGGGTTGTGGTGGCTCGTTTGCGTCTCCTAGGTGTTCGGGTGTTGGCCTACCTCGACGACTGGCTGGTTTGGGCTCCCAGCCAGTCAGCTTGCTTGCTAGCCAGGGATTTGGTTCTTTCCCAGCTCGCCGGGTTCGGGTTCTTGGTGAACTGGAGGAAGTCCCATCTGGTTCCCTCGCAGGTTCGGACTTGGCTGGGTCTCGTGTGGGACTCTCGGACCGCCTCCTTGTCTCTCCCTCCGGAGTCTCTCCTGCGGCTGCGGTCCCGCCTGCGTCTGTTTCTGGAGGGCCCTCGGGTCACCCGGCGGTTGCTCGAGGGGCTGTGCGGGAGCCTGAACTTCGCGATGGTGGTCTACCCGCCGGGTCGGGTTTGGCTTCGACGGCTGTTCTGGTTCCTTCGGGGTTCCCCCTTCCGCCTCTCTCGCGATCGCAGAGTTCGACCCCCGGGGGACTTGCGTCGGTTGCTGCGTCACCGGCTTCCTCTTCGGGTTTTTCGGGGTTCAGTGCCTTGGCGCCTACCCGAGCCCTCGCTCGATGTGTACACGGATGCGTCGTCTCTCGGCTGGGGTTTTGTGACCAGTGCTCACCAGGCCGGCCAGGGGCGTTGGGATCCGTCCTTCCGTCGAGCTCACAGTACGGTGCGGGAGTTCGCGGCAGTGTGGTTTGCTCTGGGGAGGATTCAGGTGGCCCGCGGATCGACG